GTGGAAATTGCGTGGTGTAATACCGGCGTCGGATCGTCGTTACAGCGACTTTATAACAGCTCCTGTAAAAACAAGATGCAGCAGCTTAACGAGCCTCAAGGACGAGAGTGGAAAACAGGTTCCGCTTTTGATTGAAACGTTGAAAGTAAGTTTTGTACGTGTCGTTCGAATTCGTTGCTGCTCTTGGGAAAAATATCGAAAAAGACGTGTTTACGCGAGGGGAAAGTAGCGGGTATGCGATAAATACCTCGTGCGGCGGTATAGGCGGTGGGATGGGCCGATAAATGGAAAATGTGTATCTTAATTATCGATCGAGCAACTTTGGTCGACAGATGCCGCTTTACGGAGGGAAAAGGAAAAAAACGATATTATTCGATGTTATCGTTCCATATTTTTCCAAATGAATTTTTAATTTTTCGATTTCTGGTCGAGTTGGTAAATATAAGGATACATTTGATAACAAGGTTTTTGGAAAAAAAAAGATTTAAAGAATGTAACGTGCTTCGGAACGAAAAGAAAGATCAAAAATGGAAAATTTAAATCGACGGAGCGGTATTCCTAGCAGCGAGCAAACCTCTCTACACATACGGCACGAAGGACAGCCGAGGTAGTGGGGGTGCGCAGTGATTCTCAAACGGAACTGGGCATTAAGTTGAAAAAGTAACTAATTACGAGTAAAGTTGCTTTAAGTAATTTATTATTATTAAAATGCTGGAATAACATTTATTTATCGACTATTAAATTTTAACATTGAAATTACTATGCTCGAGTTATTCTTTATTTCATGTACGTGTACATGGAAATTCATATGCTTATCGTTTAAAAAGAAAAAGCGAATTTTCGTTTTATTCTTTGACTCGAAGAAATATATGTGTATATTTTATTTATTATTAAATTTATACGCGTTATATTTTTTTGTTAAATACAGACGCCAGCGAAAAGGGTAGCCTCGATATCCGAGATCGAAGACAGAATTTACAATCGAATGAAATCTAAATCGATGCGTGAATTGTTGACGCAACGATTATCCGCGTTTTCCTCGTCAAGTTTGGTGAATTTGGTGACGGGGATCGGAAGCCTAGGGGACACTAGGCAGCATCACTCGGACGGGACGAAAGTGAGGAAAATAGAGAAGGGAGTGCAAGTTGCGATGGAAGAGAAAAAGGATATCGGTAAAGGTTCTCTACAGTACGTGAAATTATTTTTCAACGTTCTCTCTTTTATTTCTTAGAATGTAAAAAAAAAAAAAAACCTATATATAAAAAAATATTTTCGTCGTGATTATTCGCTTAAAAAAAAAAATAAAATAAATAAAAAATTCAAATTTCCACGGAAGATGAGAAAGATGACGAATAAAAAAAAATATATATATATATTTTCAACAATACAGAGAAATCTGGGAAGAACTTCTGGATGTCTCGCTTTTAAAGAATTGCGGTTTCATAAACATTTGTATGGGAATCAGTTTCGTGTTGTCGAGCGACTTCATATTTTCTTACCTTTTGCCACTGATGATGACCAACAGTGGTTACACGAAAAGTCAAGCGGCCTTGGCAATTACCGTCTGTGCAACCGCGGAATTAGTATCCAAGATTTTGCTCGCAATTTTCACTTTGTTGGTAAAAGTCAAAGCGAAATATATATTCTTCGTCGCTATGATTGGCATGGCGTTCGCAAAAATTGGTTAGTAAATTACACGTACTGTAAACGTAAACGTAAAAAAAAAAAAAAAAAAAAA